GGCAGCCTCAGGTGAGAAGCTGAAAAGGGAAGAGCCGGGGCTGTGCGGGACGGAGCTGCGGCGCTGGAAGGAGGTAGGTGTCTTGTCCTTCCATGCCGCTTCCTCAGTGTTAGCGTATACTAAAGCACGGGATGGTCCTGCTCCGCCGTGCCCCTCTGAGTGGAGGGGGCGAGGACTACAAATCCCAGCGTGCACCGCGCCGCGCTGTGAGGTACTGGTGGGGGGAAATGGAGGCGCGGTGGCTGCTGAGATTTGTAGTTCTGTTGGGGGACCCCTAAGAGGCGGGAGTAGGGTGAGCTGTGGGAAGAAGATGTCCCCGGGGGAGTCCGGGCAGGCCAAGGAACTGAAAGAGCGATATCCTCTCGGGGGTGCTGAGCGCCCCTCAGCCGGGCAGGGCTGTGGTGGGGGCTGTTCACAAGGAGCTGCCAGCTGAGGCAGTGGGCTGGTTCCCCTTCAAAATGTGTGCGTCCTGAGCAAAGTCTTCTCCCCGCTTTTTCTGCAGCTTTTCCACCATGAGGACGCAACATCTGCTCCCTGCTCTGCTGTACCTCTTGCTTGTGCTGCTGGGGCCTGGCGGTGAGTGTTTGGTCATCCCAGCATAGGCCCGCAGGGCTCCCTAGCCAGGGGCCAGCTCCAGACACTATCCCTGTCAGGCCTCTCTGGGGAGACTTGCGCCATGCTTCACATCAGCCCTTCTTTCACACCTTACCTTCACCTTGATGTGCTCATAAACTGTGCTATGCTGAGCCACTGATGTGACGGAGCACTCTCATCATGCCCTGAACTTGCCTCTGCAGAAACAGATTAAACACTGTCTGCGGTGCAGTCAGCGATGAACTCCTGCTCAAGTACCTTCTTAAGAACAATGTGTAATATATGGCAACAAGAAAAAGTGTCCAGGGCAACCTGTTTATCTCTCCATTTTTGGTCTTCTTTCTATATAGCTATTTGTTTTTCCTCTCATGTCCTTTAAACCTACAACAAGTAAAATAGATGTGGATTCCAAGTATCAAAGTTATTGACACATGACCAGCTTGTGGTTTTGATATCAGTTGTATTGGCACTTGGAATCTTGGCCTCTCTTAAAGCATAATGTACAACGTAGCTGGATTGTTGTAAAGTATACCCCTTAATAGCAATATTTCAGAGCACTATAGTAAGGTGCTTGTGGTTCCTGAAGTGTTAAGATAGTAAGTGTACATTCTCTTGAATATCTGGGTACCTGGTTTGAATTTGTGACCCAAGAAGCAATTTTAAACTACATTTTGGGCATTTATGACTCCTATGTTACTAGGATCACATCAAGAAACAATTAGTATTAAAGTACCCTATACCCTTCTCTTGGCATGAACTTTTGTTGCACATCAAATATTTAAATTGCTTCCTTGTAACATGTTCAAGTGACAGTTATTTACTTCCCCTTCTAAGTTGTTTATTCGCCTTGAAATGAGCTGTACTCCCTTTGCTGTTTATCACGTGTACTAATTTTATTTATTTGTACCAATGGACATAATATCTAGATCACAAAAGAAGGTAGGTAATTCTTCTGAAGGAGCTATTAATCATTCAGAGTAATTTATATTTATGTGGGGCTTTTTCGTTTGGTTGGGGTTTTTTTTCCTCCCCAGATGGTGTCATTGTATTGTCTGTCCCTGAAGTGGTTTCCTTAGAAAGTGGAAGTTCAGCAAACGTCACTATCGCTCTGAGGTAAAATCATGATTGCATCTTTGCTTTCTCTTTGGAATGGGGGATGAGCAAGCAGGTAGGAGTTGGCTATATACTTCAGACTTTCCTGCAGACTCAGTTAATTGTTCATGCAGAGTTAATCTCATTGGTGTTATTGGCCACTTCTAGACTATTACATCACGTAGTACCAGTACAGACCAAGGGAGTAGAGCATTCTCACAAACAGCCTTGTATGGTTGGCTTCTGACAATAGCCCATGCCATTGTATGGGAAGTTGAGCAGGAAAAGATGTTTTCTACTGTCTACCTAATATTAACTTACTGAACTGCCTTCCATAAGTGAACTTACACTTCCTCCATTTCTAAAAATTGGTGCTGAAGAGAAACTTGCATTTCCTAGAACGATCACCAAAAAAACTTTACCAGGCAAACAGAACTCTTGACCAGCAGAGGTTCAACAAGCACTGTGATAGGATTCTGGTGGCAATGACTTAGCTTTGCCTTTTGTGCGAAGAAAAGGGAGGTAAAATGTAGCCATTTTACTGTCCAGTGCCCATCACTGGCTCCGATAAAAGAGTGCAATGCTAACATACCTTGGTGCTGGCATTGCTCAGAGTACTAGGCAGGTAGTCATTAGGTTTGCAACAGCTGTGAGGATTTAGCAGATACTCTCCTGCAGCCCTGAAGCAATCTTTGTGAACTGAAGCACCAGTCTAACTTGTTTCTTCTGCCTTCACAGGGCTCCATTAAATGAGACACTGGTGATAACTCTTAATATTACACACTCATCAAAACACAGCACTATTGTTGAACTGCCTGATGAAGTAAGTGACAGAACAGACTTCTGACGTTATGCAAAGGCCTACTGTTAGTATGGTGCAACTCTCCTCTTTCTCCTCTCCGCTTTGCCTTGCAGGTACAAGTGCCTGCAGGTCACACTAAAGCAGACTTCCAAGTGAAAGCAGATGATGTGGGACAAGTAACAGTTTATCTCTATACCATTAATTCCAACTTAACTGGGTGAGAAACTGGTTTTTAGTTCTACTTACTATGTTACACCTTCCTGAACTTTGGGGTATGTAGTTGAGAAGTTGTGGTGACCCTTCAGCAACCCCCAAGGTATTCAGTTAAATACAGGGTAGGGAAGCAGAGTGATAGTCTTGGTATCTTAGATTTCATTACTAGATGACTCTGAGTTCTTACAGCTCCTTAGTCTCATTTTAATAACCCCTCCCAAAAGTATCAAAACTGCATGTCAGCTTTTCTGATCCAGGAAGCATTTGGTTGTAAATGTGCAGTGGGATGCCATTCTTGATGTGCAGAACTTGTTCTGGAGTGCTAAAAGCCTGATGCAGCTGTGTGGCCACGTCACTGCCATGAGAGGCAGATATTTTACTTTCTAGTTAGAGGAGCCCTCTATTCACAGCTGCCTGTCCTACCTAATAGGAAAATGGTCTAGCAAGATGGAAAAAGTTGAATTTTATTTGCTTGTTGCCAGATCCTACTGAGCAACAGCATACTCCTGTTTTACTTCCTCATTTTGCTTCTGCTTTTAAGACACAAAGCAAATGCAGGGGTAAGCACTTAAAATACTCAAGAGGACAGGAGTGATCATGAGGCTTTGCTGGCAGAGTGTGAAAAGTGAAACTGTGCTCTTGCGTAACAGACCTTGTGCTAAGAGAGTGGAAGCCATAGGCACAAAATGACCTTTTGAAGATTTCTATCGTAAAAGAATGGAAAGGAAGGAGTGAGGCAAGAAGGAAAGGGTAGGTTGAGGGTAGAAGTGGGAGGTGTCCTAAAAATAACAAGGATACTAAGGAAAAGGAGAACTACGCTACTGAAACCAGCAAGTCTTTACTGTCTTGTCTCAACACGTGGACTGTTTTCTCTCTCAAAGCAGAATAAGGCAAAATCTCCTGAAAACAGTGTGAGCAGAAAAACTAACTAATTCTGTTTGCATTAACCATCAGACCCAGGATTCAATTTCAAGTCATTCATAGCATCATAGTGAGATACGCTGATGAGGTGATTGGCTGGATCTATTTCCTCGCCTGGTCTATCTCCTTTTATCCTCAACTCTTTGAGAACTGGCGACGAAAAAGGTAAAGAGACTTAAAATGTGTTTGCAAGTCACTTAAGTACTTCTGCAAATCATGTTCCTAGCTTCAGTTACATCCATCTGGATCGTTGTCAATTATGCATGGAAAGACTGGGGAAAAAAGCAAGGCAAAGATAGGGCCTGAATAAACGCAGCCCCAGTAAGCTTTTATGCATGCAAGTCAGAGGAAACTAGGGGCATCCTATAGACACCTACTGCTATGGTTTGACATCCAATACTAATTTTGGCTAGATGGGAATTCCCCATTCCCGTGGGTGTCATGGTGTAAATCATCTGGCCAGGCCAATTGTGATGACCGCATTCAAAAATTACTTCCCTTGTGAGCTGCTTATCAGATGGCTACTTGTAGTGTTGTCATTAGGCCAGCTCCCTTTAAACTAAATGACTGTAAGTAGAAACATTATTATATATGAAAACTAGAGCCCTTCTTTTGGCAAAGATGCACTACTGCTTCTGTGGATTCAGGCTGGCATGGTTTTATCAGACCAGCTGAGCTCATGGAGGGGTGAAGTTAAAAACAGCAGGGACACAACCTTGTCAGTGAGAGCTGTTGTGAGTTCCAGTGCATGGCATATGAGGGTTATTTCACCTTGCTTCCTGATGTACTCACAGCATCATGTTGCCACAATGCCTGCAGCTTTCACTTACATCAAAAATTACCTATAAATGAGTACATTCTATGGTCAAGTTGTCTCTGGAACTGTCTGTAATGCTCTGA